TAAACGTTGAAAAAAAAAATTAAAAAAAAAAAAAAAAAAAGATAGTTGAGAAAACAAGTATGAGATCACAGACCTGGATTTAGGGTTCAATAACTTTTAGTTGAATCTTTTTAGGTAAATTTCAATTAACTTAAAAAATCCCCATTTCTAATGCGGTTTTAAATGAATTATGACTCCTAATAGAGTTTAGAGTACAAGGGGTGTGACTTTCTATTTGATTTTTGAGTTTATTTTTTGAACACTGAATATCATTTCCCCCCAGATTTTGGGTATGATAGAATGGATAAGGGTTTTGGATTTGTGTGTGTTTGAATTTTCCATTTGTTTCAGCCTCTTAGATTTTAAGAGATGGGTGTCTGTTGCAGGAGCTGAGAGGTTGCAAGAAAGCAGTAGCGATCAGCTCTGCTTCAGCAAAGTGCAGAGAATGTGAATTGCCTAACAAGGTACAGGCTTTGAATAATGTTGCCTCTGAAACTCATTCATTTGTGACAACACGTTGGCCACTCTTACTTGGCACAATGTAAAAGATAGCACTGATCAGTTTTCTTTTTTTAATGTTTATTTATTTGATGAGAGAGAGAGAGAGAGAGAGACAGAGAGAGAGAGAGAGTGAGAGGGAGGGAGAGAGAAATAGAGAGGGAGAGAGAATGAGTGGGGGAGGGGCAGACAGAGAGGATCCGAAGCGGGCTTTACACTGACAGTAGAGAGTCTGATATGGGGCTTGAACTCAGGAACTGTGAGATCAGGACCTGAGCTGAAGTTGGATGCTTAACCGACTGAGCCACCCCGGCACCCTGCACTAATCAGTTTTCAACTGGATATTTGGGCCACATGGACATAGCCAGCCTTCAGTTTCCAGAAACCTCTCTGGGTCATTTGGCATTGCTTTATGTTGGGCAGGAAAGAAGCTAGTCATCTGAATGCTTGTTTTTGAAAAATTCTCAGTCCTGAATAATTGAAGAATCACACATTTTTATTCTTAGAACTCACTTGATCATTTTAACATTCGATCATTTATTTCTTCATGCACTCAAGTTTTTATTTATTCAAACATTCATACATTCACGCATTCAAGAAATAAGTTAAATGCTGGCACAGGTAAGGCATTGGGCTAGATCACCTACTCTGACTAATTCACCTGGACGAATGTTCAATGTGCTCATCAGGATTGTGGGAGTCCTGGTTTGTATTAGGGCTCTCCAGGAAACAGAACCAATGTGTTTGTTTCTTCCTTACAAGAAGTTGGCTCATGCAATTATGGAGGCTGAGAAATAAAAAAATCTGAAGTTTCTAGGCTCAAGACCCAAGAAGAACTGACATTTTAGTTGGAGTCTGAAGGCAAGAAAAGAACCATCATCTTGGTTCAAAGCAATCGGGCGGGAGGAGTTCTCTTTTGCTTGTTTGAGAGCCAGGCTTTTTGTTCAAGTCTTCAACTAACTGGATGAGGTCCACCCACATAATGGACCTGCTTCACTTAGTCTAATCCAATATGAATCTCACTTTAAAACACTCTTATGGACACATGCAGCATAACGTTTGACCAAATATCTAGGCACCCCATGGCCCAGTCAAGTTGAGACGTAACACTAATCACCACACTGTTTTCACTGTTGAAATAATAAAATGTTGAACTCAATAAAACACCATATTATAAATCAAAATTCGTCTTTAGAATGCTTATTTTCCAGAGCTTGATAGTTCTCCTTTAGAGAGTCTGTCATTTCCTCTCAGCTCTAGGACTTATTTTGTTTTCTTCAAAATTCCAAGTACTCCTAAAAGTTATTGACCAGTGTCCTGTTTTAGAATCCTCCTAAAGTTTGTCTATTTACCTGTAATTAAAATATTCAAATATAAATCCAGCCCTAGGAAGGAACAAATGTTACTTCAACTTTTTAAAACTCATCACCATTTTGAGGACCATAATATTTAAGAGAATTTTTGTCTTATATTACATATGTCCTCAGATATTTCAAACTTTCCTGTGTGCAGAATTTCCACTGGAATGATTGTCTTTATTCAATTGCCATAAAACAACTCCCACACCGAGAAAGCTGCCTTGGGTTTTTACATATTTTAAGCAGGTTCATAAAAAACAAGTCCCTTGGCCTTTTGTAGAGAGAAAAGAGCAATAAATATATTTAATATCATTCCAAGAAGTGTGAACATAAAGTGAACTTCATGCATCCTGATTCTAATTGCAAATCATTCTTGCTCTGTTATGGCCACATCACAGATAATCAGATTCAATCAGAGGTTACCTTTAAGAGCAAATCCTTGGCCCAACCTACTTATTTTCTCCAACTCTCTGGCTCTCACCCTCTGGCACCCTCAGGGTCTTCTGTTCTCCCTGCTAAATTCAAGATCTTCCCATGGGCTCTTGCTGTGGTTCCGGGGTTTGGAGTCACTTAACCCGGGTCTACAGCGATACCTCAAGATGAGAGGAAATAAGTGTGACTTCAGCTGAATCATGCCCTTCAGTGAGAATGCGTGTTAACCCATATGCCCTTTCATTTATGCTCTTCATCTAGTTAACGGTGACAATTTAAATCTGGTGAAAAAAGATTGTTAAAAATTAAATTTGCTTTGTGTTAAGATACGCAACGAACCATGACCATGTAAATAACTTTTTTTTTTTTAATACTTTGCTCCAAGGTTGGCCCACCCTATAGCTAGAAGAGCTAGCTAGAATAGATGTGGTGTCACTTGGAACGATGTGCCCTATTCTGTTCACCACGTTTCTCCTGTGTTCTGACCTGTTGACAATAACAATAGACACTTAGGTGGTACTTATCACATGCCAAGAGCCGTTCTCCACCCCTCCTCTACCAAAAAGCGTTGGTACCCTGGGAGAAACTCTCAGTTCTCATGTGGTGGAACTCACACCCCCCACACCCTGCATTCTCCAGGTGGGAGTGTTTTCATTATCATTTCTCCACTGACTTCTTTTCCCTGCTAAAGTATCCACCACTCAAAATCCCACCAGAGGACACAAATCTTATTCTGGAAAACTATATATTCTGGAACAAGTCTTCCTAAATCTCACTAAAGAACCCTTCCTTCCCCTATGCCTTAGTTCAGTTAACACCTTAATTGATGAGTTTTTCATTTCAGTGATCAGAAATCTCATACCCTTGTTTTAGGTCTCTAACGCTTGACCACTGAACTTCCTTCATAAATAAATTCCATCTGCCCACAATGCAGGCATCCAATGGCTTATAGCTAGTTGAATTTTATTTTGAGGGCTAAATTACAGACAGATCTTTCTTCCTGAAATTAGTGAAGACTCAATTTGTATCGAATAAAAAAATTGACTCCATGAAATCAGATATTAGATTAAAATGCTTTTAGAACATTTTAATATAATTATAAGATGATTAAACTTAAATTCAGAAATTGAAAGGATAATTTTTTTTAATGGAACACTTATTCTAAGTAAGACTATTAAAAGATTACATTGAATAAACAATCTGAAATTTCAAATGTAAGTAATAACATAGATTTTTAGTGGAGATTTCAGAGGAGATTTTTAGACATCATAATTTTCTGAAACTGGCATATATTAGAGAACTAATTAGTTGCAGATTTCTAAAGTTCTAAAAAGAATCCATTTAATCTCTATCTCTTGTGTATTATGATGTAGAATGTATTCATGTCCAGATTCTTTCTTTAGGTGAACTGCTTGACTTGAATGAGACAGAATATAACTGAATATTGATGGAAAAGTTTGAATATTTTTGACAGTTGAAATGGCTTCAGGCTTTCTACAACATTTATGACTTTCTTTTTGGTTTTATAGCAGTACTTGTGTAGGTTTTGTGTATCGCTCATATTAGCTCTCTGGAATTGAGAGATGAGGTGAGGCCTGGAAAACTCCCCCAACAAGGTCAAGTTCCTGTTGACTAATTCTATGATTGCCAAGAACAGTCTCTGAGTCCTTGAGGCCAAAGGCTGTGCTTGGAGCTGAATGTGGTTTCTGAGAGGCTTCAGCTCAGGGGATGAGGAGAGGCTCCAGGAGGCCTTCAGTCACACATTCACAAACCAGTGTGATGGGGGGAAATTGTGGGGCTGGTGAAGGGTCTGTGGGTGTGATGAATGTCTGAATGACTCATGGGGGAGGGGAGTGTTAACAGGACTCTCCATCAGATGCCATTTGCTATAATTTTCATATGATACACTTGGAAAGCCCCCCTCATGGAAGAGAGGTTACTGTTATTTGTCTCTTTCAAAGGTGCTCCAGTAGAGAAAAGCATTTTCATTTTCAAAAGCCCTGACAATCCCTGAAAGGCTGTCTAACTAGTCTATGCACCTCAGCCCATCCCCTCACCCACAATATCGTTTCTTCTCCCTCTTTGAGACTTGCCTTCCTCCTACTGCAACTTGAATCACATGAGGCCCACACTGGGGTCAGTTGTTCATTACTTCTTTCAGCTGCGTCTTAGCTTCCCAAGGTTAAACTCTCTACTTGGGTCTTTGCTTTATATTTTAGTATTATTTTAAACACTGAATGAGCTTGGAGGACTTGTTTCCCCTATCACCCTGCCATAAAGGTAATAACTTTTTATTTTAGGAATGTTGGTAAAATAAAAAGAAAACACAATTATTTATGGTTCCACTCGACCAAAATAAACCATTGTTTATAAACACTGTCCTAACTCCTCAGCTCCTACCTTTGGCCCTGCATACCACTGTGAGACTCCTTTCAGTGTGGACTTTTATCATATATTTATAACTGTTTGAAGAGTTGCACATATCCACTTTAGATAATTCGGCAAATGAAAAAAATGTATGTACAAGAAGACATACCCACCACCAATGTTCACGTTCTAGCACCTTTCTCCACCAGTCACGGTTCACTGTTAGTGAGCATGAAAGAAGCTCACTTTCTATAAACTTTACTTATGCCAAAACTTTCTATAAACATTACTTATGAAAGCTGAATAGAAGAGAACATTTTAGGGATCTACTAGAACTTTTTAAAAACAATGTCTTCAGAGTATTTCCAGTCTATTATTTGGTGAAGAAACAAAGCATATGGACCATCATTGAAAAGCCTGGATCTCAGAGTAACTTCTTGTACACAATCTTGCCTTTTCTCCCTTCCTTTTGTAGACTTTGTTCTTTAATAAACATCTTGTACCCAAACCACATCTCCAGGTCTGTTGCCCAACATCCATATCTATGACATTCAAAAGAAACCAGAAAACTTTTGTCTCATTTTGATTTTTCCTCCAGAGTCCTGCAAATATGAATTCCCTGAAAATGTATGAAGTTACAGAAAGAAATGGTAACTTGTATTCTTTTAGTCCTTTTATATACTTCTTACTCCTTTGTTTTATCTGTATCTTTACAGATATTTATCTTTTATTTTATCTGTATCTTTATCTTTTATTTATTTGTAGTTCACATGGGATATTTCAAAACACAGATGATGATTATTTTTCACATAATAAAGAGTATGGAGTACCTTACTGAGGGCAAGGTGCATATTAAATGCACTTCCTGTTGTTGCTAAGAAATAAGACTGAATGAATAAATTCTATTTATTTTATAGAAGTAAACAGATTACAAACTCGAGGCCCTTCTCTGAAGTACAAGTTTTAAATTCAGACTCCAGAGAACCTCCTAATTGTATCAGACCACACCTGGAATGAGATTAGGAAAACAAAGATCCCAACTTCTGACAGTGTTTGGCAGAATCATGAATGTGATGATTTTCAAAGTTAGGATGTTTGAGTTAGAAAGCTTTTATTTAATGTTCCAAATAACCTTGAATTTTCCCTAGGTTTATTAACAAAAAATTACAGAAAGAAAGATTCTAGGAGCTTTTCACTGGCCATGGTCAACACAGACAGAATCATTTACAAAATTGCACAGGAAAAATCACAAGTAATGTTAATTGATCTAATTTTCTATGTGATTAATAAAGCATTCTGCTTACTATTCATGTGTGGTTAGAGATGTGACTTTTTTTTCTATAGAAAAATCCCCAAGGGGGTGATTTTCTATTATATTTTACTTTTCTCTGTTGAGCATTGTTTTGAGAAAACTTTTTGTTGAAGTACCACACATGCAAAAAGGTGCACAAATTGCAAGTATACAGTTAGATGAATTTTCACAAAGGGAATACACTCATACTACCAATGGCCTGACCAAGAACTAGAAACTTGGTTGTACCACACAGGCTTCTTGTGCCCTTTCTTCTCCTCCTCCTCCTCCTCCTCCTCCTCCTTCTCCTCCTTCCCCACCACCTCCTTCTTCTTCTCCCTCTTCTTTCTATTTTAATCACCCAGTACTCATCACAACAGGGGCACTTTTTGATCCCTATTGCACACTTCTATTTCACCCATCCCGACCCACCTGCCCTCTAGAGATGTGAACTTTTTATTCCCCTCTCTCCTTCCCTCATTGCCTACCCTCTCGTTTCCTACTTCCCTTCTGCCCTCTTTCCCCTTTTCCCTCCTTCCTTCTCTTTCTTCCTCCATTCTCTATTTTCTTTTATGGAATTTTATTTTATTTTATTTTTTATTTTTTTAAATTGACATCCAGATTAGCATAGAGTGCAACAAGGATTTCAGGAGTAGATTCCTTAGTGCCCCTTATCCAATTAGCCCATCCCCTCTCCCACAACCCCTCCCGTAACCCTCAGTTTGTTCTCCATATTTGTGAGTCTCTTCTGTTTTGTCCCCCTCCCTGTTTTTATATTATTTTTGTTTCCCTTCCCTTATGTGTTTTATGGAATTTTAAAGGGAGCTTTCAAGGTATAATATAAATGTGTGCTACAAAAGAGTTTTCTTTATATTACTGAGATATTACATATCAAATTACCATGGGATCCACCATTTCCCATATTTAAATGAGTATTTCATTGATTACAATAAATTTGTTTTAAAACAAATATGTTATGTGACTATTGAATAGTATTTTAAAACTAATTCACAAAAGAGTTTGTGTAAAAATCAGCAACCTTCCATTCATTGCCTGTGAGCTCCGTGGATCATTATCATTGAAATGGAGATGTGGGGAAGTGGTGTATTGACGAGGCCTAAGTTCTGGCAACTTTGGAGATTTTCTCTGAGGAGACATGAAGACTGAGCATTATTTCTCCCAACACTGAGCTGCTTCTTTCCCAGGTTGGCATTGTGATGAATAACATGAGCAACGTTGATATTCTCTCAGATTTGATTCTGGTTACACCAGTGGGTAGAGATAAAGGCATTAACGAAGCGAAGCAATTTGGACTCTGACTAGTGAAGTGTGAGGGAGAAATAGATCAAATGGTTTCAGCTACAGCACTGGGATAGAACAGAGGGAGTATTACAGGGAGCAGCTGGAGGGTTTGATTTCGGAATCAACAGCTTCTGCTTGAGGGACACATAGTAGAGGGTCCTACCATCCCTTTGCCCATGTGAAAGACCAATATTTCTCAGGCAGCTTAAATTTTTGTAGAAATGAGAGGATGGCAGGAGGCCAAAATAGGAATTTGCACCAGGGCCAAAATAGTGTCTAGAGGACAATTCAGTCTCTTTTGTAGCAGTTTGGGGCCATTCTTCAGTTTCAGTGTCTGACATAAGCCATGGCGACTTGTCAACCTGCCTACTTCAGTTTGCATGGAGTGGACTGGAACTCTGATGAAGAGGGTCATGAGTGAGCTCATGAATATGAGTTAGGACTCCTATGACCTGAGAGGTCTGACAACTTAAGTACGTTACATTATTTATGGCCATTCTATCACCAGAGTTAATATGCCTGCACAGCAGACAGCAGTTTCAGGGTGCAGCGGCTCTTATCTAATACCATTGATTGAAATTGTCCTCTTGAAAATATGAAACAAATGACTAGCAAGAGGATCAAAAGCTCTGATATTCCCCTTCTGCCTTCTCTCTCTATTTCTCTCTTTTTTTAAAATAAACTCTAGCTCCAACATGGGGCTCCAACTCATGACCCCAAGATCAAGAGTTGCATGCTTTACTGACTGAGCCACCCAGGTGCCCCTGATATCCCTCTTTTTGAGTGTTAGTTATAGGTAGAGAAATACAGAAGATAGGATACAAAGGCAATTTTCAGGAAACATCCCAGAAAAGTATTTATTCAAAGTTAGGGAGTTTTGATTTTTTTTTAAAAGTAGGATTCACACTCAGTGTGGAGCTCACTGTGGGGCTTGAACTCATGACCCTAAGATCAAGACCTGAGCTGAGATCAAGAGTCAGACACTTAACCCGCTGAGCCACCCAGGTGCCTACAGAGAGTTTTGATTTTGTTTCTTGGCTGAGAGGCACCCAGAAGAATACCTAAGAAGGGGAGTGACACTGTATCTGTGAGAGAGGACGTTTCATCAGTCAGAGGTCTGCAGAATGTAATGGAGAGAGATACCTAAGGAAGGGGCAGTCAGTTGTCAAGGCATTAGCCCAAAGTCCAACTTCCAGAAAACTATTTCCAGTCCTAGAAAAGGGTGGGCCTGAGATAAATCCTCAGACTCTGGAAGCCAACAACCTCTACTCAGACTAAAGGACATGCCCTTAACTTGTATCCTCCATCCAACTCAAGGATACCAAATACCATCCTGTGCAAATGAGAACAAATCTGTTGACATGAGACAAAGCACAGTCAAGGGGATACCATAGGTATCTGGGTAGGGAAGTGTTGAGGGTCCCTGCAAAAGGACCGCAGCCAGCCTCTTCTCAGAGCACTGAGACCTCCCAGCAGGAAACTCAGTGGTGTCTCAGACCACTGGGGTCTGATGCCATCTGGTATAGTCTGGCCAAAACACTAGTCACAGCTCTTCTTCCGACTGACTTGGTTCTGATTCCGTTTTTTAATCATCTTGACCTACCCGATCCTGCATGGGTGTTCATGCGTGATCGAGCCACTTCCGTCAGTGACAGATTGGCCCCATTGCTCCCTGGCAGAGTCTCATGCTCTCATAGCCAAAACAATCGAGGAGATATGGGTATAAGTCAGTGGTAGCGGGAAGGGAGAAAAAGGTTTCCATTAGAGACATCTGGAAGGTTGAAGGGACAGAATTTGGTAGTAAACTGGGTGTGGCCATTCTAGAAGAGAGAAGAGTCACTAGGTCATGGTGTTCAAACTCTTTTGAGTTCTAAAGCTAAGGATAGTGTGAAGCTAAGGATAGGGTGTAAGGGAAGTGTGAAGGCTTGAGAACGTAACTGTGGAGAATGTCTACATTCATAGGTCTAAAAAGAGAAGGAGGCTGGCAAGGAGCTAGAGAATGAACAGAAAACATGTCATAGGAATGAGAGGAAGAGGAAGCTCTAGGAGGGGTGGTCTATTGGATAGGAGTGCGCTAGTTTGGCACTAATTCTCCCACTGCAATAATTCCATTGTTGTTGGAGAGTATATGGATGTTTTTACCCAAGAAAGTTCAATAGTCAAATTTTAACTTCAAGAAGATGATTTTGGCCACACAAAAAAAGTATTGGGTTAAGGGAGAAACTGAAGTCCAGGTGGCCAGTTAGAAAATTAGGTAATAAGAACAACCCTGAAGACCTTAAGCATCTATAAAGCTGAAGAGAAAATAATCGTTTTCACTTTGAGAAAGAACTTTCCATTTTATTTTCTTGCAGTGAAAAATGAGGTGAGAGAAATTTTGGTAATTTAAAGCATATGTCTTCTGTTTATAGAATCCAGGAAAATGGGTCGCAATGAAGATCAGTGTCACAGATGATTAAGGATGCTTTGTGTGAGAAAAATAGAAAGATGTCAAGAAACTCAGGACACAAAAAATACAGGATTTCTCAGAAACAAAGGTTGTCTTTTTGTACAATTGTCCCATGTAGGAAAAAGAGAAAAGAACATTATTCCCTATCCTTGAGAACATGACAGTAGAAAAGAATGGTTTTTAAAAAGACTTTTTTTCTGGAGACTCTGGCTCCGTAACTTCTGACTATTTCAGATACTTGTGTTTACAAATTGAACCTACTGTGTCCTAGGACATCCATTAAGCAGACATTTTGATACATGAAATGATTTATTGGGAGCTCCATTAGGGCAAAGAATAGATCGAAGTCTATAAAAGTACCAAATTCAGGGTATCAAGTAAAATGAGCTGAACGTTTGAAGGTATTCGGTTCCTGTTTAAATTTGTATTATAAAACCTTTGCTAGTTTAAAGGGAAGAGGAAAAAGTGGTGGCAAAAGAAAATCAAAGGACGTGATCATATGAGGAAACGAAACAAAAGGGAAGAGGCTGATCAATTAAAGACACTTGGAAAATAGGTCAAATGGGGTGTATGAGTCAGACGCGGTGCTGGAGACTGTGTGTACAGAATTAGGATAAGACCCTTATCTGTTGTAGATTAATAACCATAATAGTAATAATAAGAAGAATAAATAGCAGTAGCTAACACTGATTAAGCATATGCTATTTACCAGGTAGTGTTTACATGTTTATAGGTTTTCATTTACGTATTTATCACAATAACCTCATGCAGCAGTTATTACCTCAATGTTATAGATGAGGCACAGTGAGATTAGGTAATTTGCCCAAAGTCACACATCCAGCTCATTCCTGCCTCCTAAAATGTCAGAAAGACACCAGTTGTGTCAGGCAGGCTTGGCTGGGTTATGCTATGGTAACAGCATATGGTAACAGATTTTAAAAATCTTAATTGTATCTAATAATAAGTGTTTTTTTTTTTTTTTTTTAACTTCATTACAGGACATTTGGTCTGCTTCATTTCTGGACTTTTCCTGAAGAAGCAGCCCCTCTCTAGGACGCTGTTCATCTTTAGGCAGAGGAAATATAACGCCATGGAAGAACCACGTGGTGGCTCCTATGGCTTCTACTGGGTGTGGAACATAGCACTTTTTCTCACATTTCTGTGGCTTAAGTAAGTCACATGGCAAGGCTGTCAATGGTGAGAAGTGCAGTTCTTCTCTAGGGAGGGCCTTTGGAGTAAGAGGTCCCACAGGGAGGGATTTTTGTCTTTTTGTTGTTGTTGTTATAAGAATCTTTAGCTTTGCAAGCATGCAAACCAAGGAATAGTTGATTTGATGTCATTTCACACCGATGAGTTAATGTTATGACCCTGAAAATAATTCTTGGCAGTCAGTATTGACTGGGGAGTGACAGAGTAGTAGAGAGTCATGCAAATGGGGGACTATGAAATTGAGAGTAGCTACTTCTCTCTATGACCAGGAAGGGCATCAAGGGCACAGCCCAAATCCTTGCTGACCAAGGCACCCGGAGGAAGACTGAATTTCAATAATATGTCTGGTCATACACCACTGAAGGGAAGGGTTTACTGGTTTGAGAGCTGGTAGGGAAGGGTAGATCAAGCAAGGATGTCACAATCTGAGCATCTGGTGAAGGCTGAAGGCTTAGTTCAGTTTTCAAGGGAGGAAACTTATTTTTGAGGGGGAAGGGCATGCCCTGAGTTCCTTTGTCTGAAAACCCCTCCCCTCCATGAATCCCCGGGGAGTATGCAAGGAACTCGTGGCAATGTATGCAAAGAAGAATAGTTACAGATAGTCCTATATATTAAAATGTAGAGAGATAATGGGCTTAACCAGATCTATATGAACCAAGCAGTTAGAACATAAACCCTTGCAGACAGTTAGGTAAAGCAGACACATGAGAAAGGAGAAGGACAATCTAATTCTTGAATTAATGTTACATTCTAGCCTGATCCTTTTGGGTAAATGTCTCATTTTCATGCAAATAAATCTGTTTTAAGGACTCTAAAAGTATTTCCACAATGATGTAAATCGTTCTGGATGAATTCAATAAAAGCAAGTAATGATCACCTTTTTGGAACTTCGAATAAATTCACATCAGGTGAAGGTATAACATTTAGAAATAAGACAATTTATTTTCTTTTCCAATGCTGAGGAACTGTAAAAGCTATGGCAACAAACTGGAGCATTTGGGAAATGGAGACAAATATAAGTTTTAATCTCATCCCTCATATATGCGACAGTTCTAATTTTTGTGTATTGTTTATAGTTTTTCCCATATACATATAAAAGCTGTGTAATTAAAGACTCCATTTTCCATAAACAATCTTCCATATTGAAGCATAGTCCTTATGATCATAATGGCTGCAAATAGTCCATGGCATTGACATAATTTAATTCATTTAGTTTCTTTCCGTTTTCATCATTATTAATATTATTGCAGTAGATGGATAAGTAGAACATATGTGTTAAAAATTTTGTTTGTGGTTGTTGAAGCAAAATTCCAAAACTGGGGTTACTGGACCAGAGGTTATACATACATTATGACTACATGTAAATTGATTTAAAAAAATGACTGCATCAATTTAAAATGTGAATGCAATTCACTACATGCTCACTGGGTTTAGGAATTACAGGACCTACAATTTGAAAATACAATTTGACCATACACATTGAAAAATCAATAGGAAAATATGGTATTTTGTGTTAACTTTTATGTTTGAATACTTGTGAGGCTGAATATTGTTTCATGTGTTTATTTACCAACAGCATGGGTCGTTATTCATTCATTCGATCCTTCTTTCATTCAGTCACTGCACAAATACTTTTTTGAGCACCCACAATGTATGTGAGAGGCACTATCTCTGTTTCGGAGCACACAGCAGTGGAGAAAACAAAAATCCGAGTCCTTATGAATTTTGTTTTCTGGGGTAAAGAAGATAATAAACATAACAAGTATTAAAATTGTGTAGTATTTGAATATTGTAACTGTTACGGAAAAAATAAAGCCGGATAAACATAAGAAATTTGTTGGGAAGAAGTCGCATTTATGAGTAGGGGTATCAGCGCAAAGTAAGTGTTGGAACAAAGACTTGAATGAGGTGGGGCAGGTCCCATGTAGGTATTTGAGGAGAGAGTGTTGAGCCAGAAACGCTAAATCGTCCAAAGCCCCAAGGGGAGGCATGTCTGATGTGCTGGAGAATCAGGCCAGTTCACCAGAGGGAAGGGAAACTTTGACTTTTACTAGGATGATGTTTGTCCGGTAGGAGGAGGATAACCAGAGAAAAAACGAAACGCAACAGAAGAAAAAGTTTCAAGAAAGAGGTTAACAAAGCCAAAATTAGCCAAAATATCCAAGGTGAAGAAAATGGAAACAATATTAACCACATTCAATGAAGATTGAAGGCGGCCACAGCTCAGTCACGTGGTCACAACCCAGCTAAAGAGAGGCACTAAACGGAGTGTAGCTGTGAGCCCAGAATGAAGAGAATGCTGATGGTTTATAAAAAGCTTGCCAGCTTTGACCTCCAGTGTGGAATCAACAGGCATCATTATCAACTGGCATAATTGGGAAACTATCCCAGGCCCGTCCTCCAAATACGAGATCAACATATCAAGGGATGGGTCCTCTGAATATTTTTTTTAATGACCATGTGGGGCATTCATATTTGGAGACCACTGAGGGAGTAATTTATCTTTTGGAAATGAAAATGTATCAAAATGGTTCTTAAAAAAAAAAAAAAAATGAATAAAGTGGTTCTGGCTATAACACAGAAGAGCCACGAGGTGGCAGAAGAACTCCATTCTGTAAGCCTCTTGCTCGGTCCCTTAGCTCACCTTTCTCGTTCCTCCGGTTCCCACCCGCCCCGTGCCCCACTTTTTTTTTTTTTCTGGTTTGTTGGCTGGAAATGTACAGAAATTAAGTTCCTTAAAAGGATTGATGCTAATAGTCTAGGTAGATCTCAATATTAAAAAATGTATAGAGAAGGGGCGCCTGGGTGGCGCAGTCGGTTAAGCGTCCGACTTCAGCCAGGTCACGATCTCGCGGTCCGTGAGTTCGAGCCCCGCGTCGGGCTCTGGGCTGCCGGCTCGGAGCCTGGAGCCTGTTTCCGATTCTGTGTCTCCCTCTCTCTCTGCCCCTCCCCCGTTCATGCTCTGTCTCTCTCCCAAAAAAATAATAAATAAACGTTAAAAAAAATTAAAAAAAAATGTATAGAGAAGAAAAATACCTAGAGTATCAAGTCAGTGAACTATTCAGAATTAAGGCCATTAAATGTAACTTTTTGTTTTATGTTGAAGCAAAACGTGTTAACTGAATAAAACTAGATATTAGAAGGGCAAATAACCATAAATAGCTTTTTTTTTTTTTGCTGTGTCATATATTTTGGACATATTATTAATATGCATTATATATGCTAAATTTATTCTTAAGAAAAACGTTAATTTTTGGTTTTATGAAGCCAAAAAACCCTAATGGTAATTTTATACACTGAATTCCAATGAGAAATGTCCTGGGCTCTGAAGAGTCAAAGGCTACTGGATTCAAACATATTCTGTTTGGATCCAGACTCCACCTCTTTGGAGACTGACCTTGAGCAAATTTCTTAGCACTTCTCCGCGCGTCTGCTATAAAATGAGGCAATAATGCCTAGTCTATAAGGTTGCCATAAAGAGTCAATGATGTCACAGGCAAGTACTTGATGCATACAAAATTAGGAAAGGAAAGCAAATTAAAAAAATTCCTTCCTCTTTTCAAATTTTTCCAAGTGGCAGCTGCTACTTGTGTTTTAAGGCAAGGCAGGATGCCGGATCCTAAGCTAGATGTTCAAAAACATCATGCTGTTAAAAGATTTCAGAGTTGAAAACCTGTGTTCACTGTTCTGAAATATCTCTCTACTTCCTGTTAGAAAACACAAGATTCTTTGAGATGGATTTTTTTTGGCTCTATGTTTTGTAATTACACATTTGTTATATAAAGGGTATAATGACTTATGTACTATGGTGTTATTCAACACATTGTAGAAAAAGGAGAATGAAGAATGTGCTTTATCAGCAGGCAAGGATTGTCCTCTTTATCCTTTATCCTCTTTATCCTTGCATGTAATTTACTAAAGAGCTGACAAAGTCACAGCACAGGTGGCCTCTCACCAGATTATTCTGCAGACAGTGAAAAAACTGACACTGAGCCCATGCTTTCCAACGTGCGTCCACGTGAGAAACTGGATGAGCTTTTATACGGATTCTTCATTTCTATACTATGAAAGAATGGGGTTGCTCATAAGAAGGAGACATAAAGGCCTGTGTTCCAGACAAGGCGACAGGTAAGGATGCCACGAGAATGCTTGGCCGCCCAGTATGTAAACAATGAAATGGCTTCAGATGCATCCTTCATTTGGCTGCAAAGGAGGAAGTCATTGAAACACAGATGAAGGAAGAGTTCTGAAAAAAATAGGAGGCACTGGGAAAAACATAGGCAGTCTGGGTCGCTGATCAAAGAGCTGGCTATGTGAGATACAAGTAGTGATAGTTTGATACGTCTGATTTAATTGTAAGTAAATTTTGTAATAACTACCTTTAAATCTAAGGATTGAAAACCTTAAGAGGATTTTAAATGTATGGTTAATTTTGGTACAGTACCCTGACGGACTTGAACATTAGGTTTCTTAAGTCCCTTTGGTGAACATAAGGACCAGAGGGGAACACTTTTGGGAGACCTTGAATGGGAGTAGGGGAGACCCTAGATTTCACGGAGCACCTCTTTATTCCTAAATATCAAATATTGCCTGTAGTGGCTGGCTTCTACTTCTCAGCTAGTTAGCAATCATGCAAATGGAAATTACCTTAGCAGATTGTTCAGAGCACGTTCTAGATGTAATTGAATAAGAGCCAATGTCTTGCTTCCGCAGTTGGAAAGCCTGGAATAATCTTCTCAACCTCTACTATGGAAATTCTCCCTGTTCTCAAGGTGTCTATCATGGGAAACTTCCATCTTATTTTTCCTGTGCTCTTTCCCTTTTCTGTGTCCACATAGCCGTGAGTTTTTCAGGTGGTATCCAGAGACACAGCTGCTTTTTATAACCTCTGACATTGGCGTATGTTGTGGGTTTGGCATTGTTCGCAACTCCCAATATCAACGAAAATCAAAAACATTTTCTCCTCTCTGTGCACTCTCTCTATCTTTATGGTGGTAAAATAGGCAAAATGTAAAAGTTACCATCTTAGCCATTTTAGGTGTACGATTCAATAACATTAAGTATACCCACATGGTTGTACAACCATTACCATTCTACTCTACAGTTTTGGTGCATGTGTGGAAGTTTTAGGGTTTCTTACATATAAAATCATATCTGTGATTAGAGATAAATTTATGTCTTCCTCTCCAGTTTGGATGCCTTTTATTTCTTTTTCTTGCCTACTTGCTCTGGCTAGAACTTCTAATACTATATTGAATAGAGGCCAGAAATAAAAGAACAAATATGATATGATTTCACTTATTGAAGACCTAGAATAGTCAAATTCACAGAGACAGAAAGTAGAGGAGTGTATACCAGGGCTCTGGGGAGGAATAATGAAGAGTTATTGTTGTTTAATGGATATGGAGTATCAATTATGGATGATGTAAAAGGTTTGGACGTGTATATGAACTTTTGGCTAAGGCACTACTTTCAGAGGAAAACATTCAATATGTGACATTCTTTTGTTATGATTATCAAATTGGAGTCTGGGAACCAAGGGGGCAGAAGTAAGATTGGCTCATTTAACTATCACTTCTGGCAATTCACTTGGGGAGTGGATCTGTCCTCATAATCTTAGGCTGTTCCAGAATACAACCCAGTAAGACTTCCACTGGATGAAGCTGTACCACCCCTGGTCACTCCTGGATCCTCATGTTGGTGGACCAGCAGGCAAAGACAGCAATTACTATATTGGTGGGGAACTTGAGTCTGATTATCATGAGGAGGTAGGTCTGCTGCTACATGATAGGATCAGAGAGGAGTAGGTCTGGAACATGGGAATTCACTGAGTTGCCTTTGGTGCTTCCCTAGTCAGTGACAGCTGTGAACAGGCA